ATAATGATTATGACACATCAGAACAATGAATAAATATTTCGTTCAATACAGTGCGAATTATTTCAAATAATCAAAATATAATAGCAGCGCATTTCTCGTTTTGAAGTTGTGTTTTATCGATGGACTTAAATTTACCGCCATAAATCTTTTGAAAATCAGCTTTTTTATCTCATTATTTATTTCTTATTAATTTAGTTGTGTAGTTTTCAAAAATTGAAATGTTAATCGTTCGAGATATAATAACGGATAGGATGAAATTATAGATTCATCGTTAAATTTTTTATTACAAACTAGAACTGATAAGGATATTGATTTAATTGAAATGCATGGAATGAACTGCTTTTTCCTTATAAATCCATCGCTAACATCATAATCAATACCTAAATTCGGACATGCTTCCGATAAACTTCATTGCAAATTGTGTTTATTATTTTATTATGTAATATAAATAATTGATCGAATCAGCAGTTTATTGTGCTTGATTATTTTTTTTAATGTTAGTTTGATTATGTTGATTATGCTAGCTTGATTTATTATGCTAGCTATGTTTATTTTTTTGTTTTTTTTATTAGCTTGATTAGCTTGATTATGATTATGATTATGTTAGCATTTGAATGTAAAAGAAATTATCTTCCATTACCAGTAAAACATTTCCAAACTCACAAGCAATTTTCCCAAATAGCAGTGATGGCAGTGAATTTGCTTATTTCTGTCGAAAATTTCTAAAACTGCAAAAAAAATTTTGCATTGAAAAAAAAGTTAGCAAACACTGTAGTGGTTCTTCCATTTTTACCTTTTCTTGAGATTACATACACTTTTGGATATATCTGACCTTATTGCTTAAATGTTCAACATTTTATGGCAGTTTCTAAAATATGTGTGATATTGGAATACTTGAAATAAAATGTCATGAAATAAATTTTTTGCAATTAAAAATCATATTTATGCTATGCAAAAAGCTTTAAGTTTTCTCATCAAAATATTAGTAACTTCTTATGCAGTCAGCTTTTTGTCACTTTCCATTCAGAGCATTTCTTATGGTGACGGTGAAATGAAATGAAAATATATCAGCGAGAATATTGTCATGCTGGCAAAGCCACAAGCAACACAAATGATTACAAAAATATACAGAAACCTTTTACCTGAAAAACACTTATGTCGCTAATTAATTTTAGCGAATTTCGTAACCGAAATTCAAACTACTTTTATTATCAAACAAGTGAAAAAGAATCCCTAAGTGACAAAAAGAGGTTAAAAATCAACATAAAATAATTCTCATAAAGTTTTCCAGGACAAATTTTAATTGTATTATAGCATTGGTGATTGCTCATAAAGCCATGCTATTATTATACTTTTTTCTCAACTTAAACAAAATTTCTGTATATCAAAAGCATTGGATATAGAGAGTTGAGAAATATTGGGATGAAAGAGTAGTTGAATGACTGACTATCTTTTTGTTTTTGTTCCTCCTTAGCTATTTTCATCTCTTGAATATTTGAAAGTAAAGACTTCGTAACATCATCAGATTTATTATTTCCTAAATGACAAATTTTATTAGATTATTTACATTATTCTATGTGATATAAACAGTAACAGAAAAATATAAACATTGGTAATAGAAATTATTATGTAAACAAGGAATACAGATTTGCGATTTTCGCTTCTGCAGACTTCCGGACGATGATCAATAGATTTGATTAAATTATTTACATTGATATATAAAATAAAGCAAACATTTGAAATTATACATAAAAATATCTTCTCGTTTTACAATACTTTTATAAATTGACCATGAAATAAAGCAGTAAAAAAAAGAAAAAATGATAAGTACCAGTGGTAAATACTAATGAGGCCTGCGCTAATTGAGATGTGATAGTGTTTTGACGAGATGTAACAATTTCTGAATTAAACAATAAAGTACAAGCAACGGTATAATTTAGAAATTACAAATAAATAATTTAAAGTATATGTTTGCAGCGCAATCATGAATGCGAAGATTAATTCAGGTCATCTATCATTTGTCCGGATTATAGATAATAAGTGTAATTATGGCTGATGAATTACTCACTGCATTTTAATTTTGTCCTTATTTTATAACTCTAATAAATCATTTGGATCAAATTTTTGAAAAAATTAGGAGAGTTTTCGCTAATTACTCTTGTGTTTGATCATTTCCCGATTTTATGACTCATGATGAATCGTTTAAACCATTTTTATTAAAAATGAAAAAATTTATACTGGTAGTTGTAAGAGCTTCTGGTTTGTTGGTAGTTTCTGGTTTATTGGTAGTTTCTAGTTTGTTGGTAGTTTCTGGTCTGTTACTTCCAGCTGTAATACAACAGATAGTTTGATTTGTATTTTAAAGACAGTTTTTGTTAGTTATTTTAATAAAACCTTGCGTTAAATTTTTAACATTAGAATTGAAAAAAAAAGCAATACCGTATAAGTGATTAGAATGTCCCTCAGAAGTAGTTGTTTCCATATAAGTGGTATCAACCCTATCAAATAAAGATTTTGCTTCTGAAAAGAAAAAAATTACATTTTTCAAGTATAGTAGAGAGAGCGAAACGTCTAAACGTTAATCCACTTGAGCGTACATGTGCAGAGTATTTGCAGTCAAAAAACTTTCAAAGATAACAGGATATTTGAAAAAACTCTCTGAGCAAGACATTCATGCCCCATGAAACAACTATTATTGAGAGTGGTAGAATCTGAGCTTCAGGTACAGACTGAACTCAAATGTGATAACTTTATTTACAATCACATAGTCGAATTTTCGAGAAAATTTCATTGTAATTAAATGCAGTATGCCTCCTTTTTCATTACGAATATCTGCTTGTTAGACTTGAAAAAAACTGAGCTTTACTGAAAAATTCAAATTTCAATTTAAAAAAACATTACCGCTCAAAGCGATTAAAGTAAAAGTCGAATATGCAAGAGTCTTTAGAGGAATTGTGAGTGCATTTCTTTTGGTAATATGAGAACGTGAATATAATATAGATATGATGAATACTATTCCAGGACTGCTTGCACTACAACCATCCATTAAATAAAAAAATTTATTGAAAAGTTAAAATCAACCATCATATAGTATTTTTATAATCTGTTGTTATGCAAATATTAGGATTAAAAAAGAATCTCAATAAAGCAATAATATCTGAAAAGGAATGATCATAGGATCTGAAACGATGAGTCAATTAAATTCGAAGAGAGATATATTATTTGCATAAATTGGCTTTCAGTATTCGTTAAACAGCTAATTGTTTCTGCAAAAATCTTAGTAAATATACACAAGATTTTTTAAATATTAATCCTGATAAAATTTCCATATCTGTGTATCATATTCGTTTTTTTCAGTCCCTGTTGAATCATCATATTTCCGTTAAGATTTTCAATTGAATTTTTTACCGCATGTAAATTGTCCTTCGTTGTGCGTCAATTTACGATTTTCACGGAGTTGCACGCTGTGCGAGTGATTTATTGCATATATTACATTTGTATTTTCTTAAACTTCATGGGCCTCAGACTGTTTGAATATTTGAATCGCTCACCGCGTTTTCCTTTCTTCGCTATGTTTTCGCTGATGAACTCGCAGATTTCCACTTTGTGTGAATAATTTATTGCATATGTCGCATTTGCATTCTCTCACGCCCGAATGTGTGTTTTCTTTTGTGTTTTCGCAGCTATTTCGTACACTCAAATTGCTTATTGCATATTTTACATTTGAATCTTTTTTGTTTGCTTCGTTGTCATTAGCCGCAGCTGTCATCTCACCGTCATCTCTCGATTGTGCTTGTATTGGTGATCGTCTCCATTTGATCTCTAAAATAATCCAAAATGATCCTTTTATGAATTTAATGATTATTAGAAAAATAACAAAATTTCAATATCTTATTCACACGGCGCCAACACAAATACTGCGAAGCATACGAAAGAAGCATAATCGAGCTTATATAAAGCGATGAAATGTGGAACTTTGCAAAATAATTTTAAAAAATATTCTCTAAAATGCATGAATGGAAATTTGTAGAAGACAGCCAACCTAACGGAGGGAGTATTGACAGAGAGAATCATTTTTATACATATCGTATGATCTATGATCGAACGAAGTCACAGAACCCTAATCCTTTTGAATAATAATTTTGACTCCCCTATTTCCCGAAATTTCTGTTAGTTACATTGAAAAATAATAGTTTTATGGAAATGTAATTATAACAGGTAGCACAATTTGGAACTGTCACCAAACTCTTCCAACTCGGAATAGCATGAAATCAACCGAAAATG